CTGTCTCCTGCCTCTCTCTCCGTCTCTCTTTCTCTTCTTCCCCTCTTGCCTCTCACTCTCTTTCTCTTCTCCCCTTGCTACCTCTCATTCTCTCTTCTCCTCCTCCTCCTGCCTCTCACTCTCTCTTTCTTTTCTCTTCCTCCTGCATGGGGAGCACGGAGCCCAAATGGCTGTTTGCGCCACTTGCTCCTGTGAGGCAGCCCAGCTGCCTATGAGCTCCAGCTGCCCCCCTGCACCGTTTCCCTTCACCCCAACACTGATCCTCCAGCCTCCAGTTGTCCTCCACCTCCCCCTCGTTCCCCGAGGAGTAACGGCAGTTCGAATTAGATAGCCTAATTAGGCTAATTAGGCTCTCTAATTCGAACTACCTACTCCATGCCGTGTGTAGCCGCGGGCACGGAGTCCGCACTAAGGGGGATTTAAAAATGGCGATGCCTGGCAAGATGCAGATGAAGCCCAGGATATTTAAATCCCGGGCTTCATTTGCAACTTTGAATGCCTACATTAGCCACTCTAGTTTGAACTAGGGTGGCAGTGTAGACATACCCTAGATTACTATTCATAGAATCATAGAATTGGAAGGGACCTCAAGAGCCAGTCCCCTGCCCTCAGGCAGGACTAAACACTATCTAAATCATCCCTGACAGGTGTCTGTCTAACCTGCTCATAAATATCTCCAGTGGTGGAGATTCCACAACCCCCCTGGGCAATTTATTCCAGTGTTTAGCCACCCTGACAGGTAGGAACTTTTTCCTAATGTCCAACCTAAACCTCCCTTACTGCAATTTAAGCCCCTTGCTTCTTGACCTATCATCAGAGCTCAAGGAGAACAATTTTTCTCCCTCCTCCTTGTAACACCCTTTTAGATACTTGAAAACTGCTCTCATGTTCCCTCTCAGCCTTCTCTTTTCTAAACTAAACAAGCCCAATTCTTTCAGTCTTCCCTCCTAGGTCATGTTCTCTAGACTTTTAATCATTTTTCTTCCTCTTCTCTGGACCCTCTCCAATTTCTCCACATCTTGTTTCCACTGACTGTTAGTGGATGGAAGGGTCTAGCATTGAACATTCTGATCTGAAGCAATTTGAACCAGCTGTTATCATTGCCTTGGCAGCATCCACATTAAATCTTAAAGCACAGCAGTAGCCCCACGTTCTCAGGAATAGGCCCACACGTGGGATCTCCAAGTTCACCAAATGGGTCAGGCTCAACCTGATCTAGATCAGAAGCAGGTATAACCCCCACACTTAGTAAGGTTCACTGTCCCATAGTGGTTCTTAGACCACTTACAGCAAGAGTGAAGAACAAGGGCGCTCTACAACCTAAGCCGAGAGCCCGGTGGTTTTATAGCTCAAATTGTAGACACTAAGGGTATGTCTAAACTACATGCCTCCGTCGACGGAGGCATGTAGTTTAGACATACCCTTAGTGTCTACAATTTGAGCTATAAAACCACCGGGCTCTCGGCTTAGGTTGTAGAGCGCCCTTGTTCTTCACTCTTGCTGTAAGTGGTCTAAGAACCACTATGGGACAGTGAACCTTACTAAGTGTGGGGGTTATACCTGCTTCTGATCTAGATCAGGTTGAGCCTGACCCATTTGGTGAACTTGGAGATCCCACGTGTGGGCCTATTCCTGAGAACGTGGGGCTACTGCTGTGCTTTAAGATTTAATGTGGATGCTGCCAAGGCAATGATAACAGCTGGTTCAAATTGCTTCAGATCAGAATGTTCAATGCTAGACCCTTCCATCCACTAACAGTCAGTGGAAACAAGATGTGGAGAAATTGGAGAGGGTCCAGAGAAGAGGAAGAAAAATGATTAAAAGTCTAGAGAACATGACCTAGGAGGGAAGACTGAAAGAATTGGGCTTGTTTAGTTTAGAAAAGAGAAGGCTGAGAGGGAACATGAGAGCAGTTTTCAAGTATCTAAAAGGGTGTTACAAGGAGGAGGGAGAAAAATTGTTCTCCTTGAGCTCTGATGATAGGTCAAGAAGCAAGGGGCTTAAATTGCAGTAAGGGAGGTTTAGGTTGGACATTAGGAAAAAGTTCCTACCTGTCAGGGTGGCTAAACACTGGAATAAATTGCCCAGGGGGGTTGTGGAATCTCCACCACTGGAGATATTTATGAGCAGGTTAGACAGACACCTGTCAGGGATGATTTAGATAGTGTTTAGTCCTGCCTGAGGGCAGGGGACTGGCTCTTGAGGTCCCTTCCAATTCTATGATTCTATGAATAGTAATCTAGGGTATGTCTACACTGCCACCCTAGTTCAAACTAGAGTGGCTAATGTAGGCATTCAAAGTTGCAAATGAAGCCCGGGATTTAAATATCCTGGGCTTCATCTGCATCTTGCCAGGCATCGCCATTTTTAAATCCCCCTTAGTGCGGACTCCGTGCCCGCGGCTACACACGGCATGGAGTAGGTAGTTCGAATTAGAGAGCCTAATTAGCCTAATTAGGCTATCTAATTCGAACTGCCGTTACTCCTCGGGGAACGAGGGGGAGGTGGAGGACAACTGGAGGCTGGAGGATCAGTGTTGGGGTGAAGGGAAACGGTGCAGGGGGGCAGCTGGAGCTCATAGGCAGCTGGGCTGCCTCACAGGAGCAAGTGGCGCAAACAGCCATTTGGGCTCCGTGCTCCCCATGCAGGAGGAAGAGAAAAGAAAGAGAGAGTGAGAGGCAGGAGGAGGAGGAGAAGAGAGAATGAGAGGTAGCAAGGGGAGAAGAGAAAGAGAGTGAGAGGCAAGAGGGGAAGAAGAGAAAGAGAGACGGAGAGAGAGGCAGGAGACAGAGGAGAGCTGAGAGAGAGAGGGGGGAGGCAGTAGGAGGAGGGGGGAGAAAGAGAGATGGAGTGAGAGACTGGTGGCTCAGGAGAGAAGACTGAGATAGAAAGGGAATAGTATGTGGAGGACAGACCTGAAAATCCCGTTTTATGATGGGCTAATTGGCTAGTTGCAGAATACCCAACGCAAAAATTCACTGGCTCATTGGAGGCTCTCCACAATCTAACCAGTGACTCTGTTCACTGGCTGGAGAGCATGGACGTCCAACTTTGATGAAGAAATACAGTGTTGACCACGGCATTCGAAAGAAGAAGACTGCCATAGAGATTCTATGAAACATTTTGGTTCATTTAAGTTTTTTACTTCATTTGATTCTACATTTTCTTTCATGTATAGTGCCGCTCCTCCACCAGGTGACCTGCTCTGTCCTTCCGATATATTTTGTACCCTGGTATGACTGTCCCATTGATTGTCCTCATTCCACCAAGTTTCCAGGATGCCTATTATATCAATATCCTCCTTTAAAATGATGCACTCTAGTTCATCACCTTATTATTTAGACTTCTAGCATTTGTGTATAAGCACTTTAAACATTTGTCACTCTTTGTCTGCCATTTCCTGATGTGTTCTTCTGATCTGACCCATACTTCCATCTTCTGTTCCTGACTAGAACACAGAGAATCTCTATTAACAGCCCCTCCCCTAAGCGATGTCTCTGTCTGATCCATGTGCTCTTCTGCACCGTCAGCTTCCCCCCAGCCCTTAGTTTAAAAACTGTTCTACAAACTTTTTAATGTTAAGTGCCAGCAATCTGGTTCCATCTAGGTTTTGGGGGAGCCCATCCTTCCTGTATAGGCTCCCCCTATCCCAAAAGTTTCCCCAGTTCCTAATAAATCTAAACCCCTCCTCTCTACACCATCATCTCATCCAGGCATTGAGACTCAACGCACCGGCCCTGCTCAGTATGATCTGTGGTACCCAGGCCTCCAGTTCAGTAGGGCCTGATGCTGCATAAGCAGCGTCCCGGGGAAGAGCCAGTCCCACCCCCTGCCCCGCGGGGCGGCGGAGCGAGGCTTGTTCGGGGCGAGCGCT